ACTTATTTACTTAAGTTGAGGGAGCAAAATTCAGACTGCCTATCAATGAAAAGATGGTTGTTTATTCAAAACCCACACAGAGGAATAAGCCTGTAGTAAGCCTGGCTTACCGTGTTTTGAAGTAAATAATTATCATCTAAACAAACCCCTCTTAAATCAATTAAGATTATTTGAACTACAGTTATTGGATGGGTAATAATTATTATTCAGAACCCAAAATATACTACAATCAAAATAGCATCCAGCCCTGACCATTAAGTCCAGAGTCTCTGGTTATCTAAATGTATGTAAGTAACCTAAATGCAGGGAGAAAATAATTTTTAAATCCTTCCACCAAATCATCATAATCAGTGTAAGGAAGAAATTAATATTTTCTTCCTGACTCAATTTACAGCTTTCAGGAAGGATTTCCTTACCTCATGAAATCAATATAAAAATAAAACACTCCCTGCATTGCCTGTAATTCTACCTTATTCTGTACATTCTGTAATTGTCATCCACAAGACGTGTGATATACTACTATTTTGTATTCATTTGAATTGTTTTCTCCTTGACTTTTCTCTATATTCACACCTCTGATACAAGATGTTTATACATATCTGCTCTACATTTTGCTTCCACATGAATCATTTCTCTGAAAGATGTATGAAAATGACAGAATTGGAGGCAACAATTTAAACATTGGAATTTTTGCATATTCTTTCTTCTGAATTTTATAAGATTGTGGGGCAAGGTTGAAAACACCAACTACTCTACTCTTTCAGATGTGGAAATCTCTCAATCTCTTAATTCCCTGAAATTTCTGAATCTCTCAATTCCTCCTCCCGCCATTGGATGCTTTACTGTGGTAGCCCTGCTTTATTGTGATTTACAATTAGTGGGATATATTGTGGTCTAGGAAGAGAAACAAAAAGGAGCCAATTGAGTAGAAGGGAAAAAAATGGGAGTGCCTGGATAACACTTCAGTATACAGTATGTGTTATCCTTTGTTCCTTTGAATATTTGCAATTTATTTGAGCAGTATTAATCAAAACTTTGGCTTTAATTGTTAGCTTATTTAATAGCACTCAGGACTCAACAAGCTGTCTATGTACTCTTAAATATAACATAGTGCTGGCACACCCAAAGACTTGCTAAGATATCCATTACAATGGAAAGAAAGTGGCTGCCTCCTTCACTGGAGGACTGTTTAAGAGAGATAAAATGAAAGACTCAGGGAAGAGTGTGTTACAGACTAGATTTCTATTTCTAACTTTGGGAGTGGTGTGCATTAATCTTATTCTGTGTACTGGAAGTATCTCGTTTTCATTTAACCAGGGAGTAATGAGTTATATATTGTGGTAGTAGTTTTAATTCTTGTACACTGCCCAGAGTCACTACTATGAGATGGGTGGTTCTATAAATAATTTAAATAAATTAATAAATTATAGCAACCAAAACTTAAAAGGGAATCCTATTTAATTTTGACTAGACATCAGATAAGATGTGTGAACATTAGACTGTATTTTTGGTATTCAAACTGTATTTTTGGTATTCAAGGGTAGAATTCAGATGGCAGCATCATTAAGGTAGGTGTGTAAATTCCAGGAAATCAAAGATCAAAGAGTCAAAAGTAGAATGTGCTGTCTTATTTCACAAAGGGAACTCAACTTAACTATGACCCATAATGACGTATTTAGCATCATGTTGCATAAGCACAAGGCAATTGAAAGAACCTTAATCTGTTTTAACCTCAAATGTCCTCATTAAGCAGTGTCCAAGGCAGAGGAAGAAAAGATGTACACTTAGCCCTAATATTTTTCTCAAGAAGAGATTTTCTAGGTATAATACTCTAAGGGTTGGGTGCAGTATTTGCTTAAATGGAAACTCCTACGAACAGTGTTGGTATGCTTCATGCCACGTAGTTCTTCTTTAAGTATGATTCAAAGTGAACTATTTATGAAATGCATTGTTCTGAAGTAGTTTTAAAGTGCCAGATCTGGAACAGCTCTAGCCTATTTTGTTTTGCTTTTCTTCTGTTTGTTTTAACTATTTTTCTTTACATCCAAAGGCCCTGACTAAATATGAAAGATTATGAAGCTGATATAAATTGGCATTTTCTTGTGTCTGAATTGCCCTTCATAAGATCAAATATAAGAATTAAGCTAAACAGATCAATCTCAGGATTTTTCACACCATAGTATTTCCATCCAGTTTCTCATTAAATTGTGTGAAACCAACTTGCAATCTCACTTGCCTATTAATGTTCTTTCTCCAGCTGACAATGGGAGAGTCCAATATTATCATTCGATCAATGTCCTTTCTTGTGCTTCTGCAAGTCCTAGAGGAACAAAAGTCTTCTCCCCACCCTAGTGCCAAAACAAAATAAAGTGCTAAGCAGTCCTTGTTTTTGTTTCCAGAACATGTTGCATACATTTCCGTGGCTGCTTGCAAAACAGGACCTGATATAAAAATGTAGCTGCAAAACTGCCAAGCCACCATTTTCATAATTCATAAATAGGATTTTTACTGAGAAATATCCATCAAGTTCATAAAAGAAGAATGACATTCAGGAAATAGGCGGCTTGAATGGTAACCATGTCAGTGGAACGAAGCAATAGGCTAAAATGCTACCAGCCTAAACAAGCTGTTTAAAAAGTGATTGGCTATGTTGTCTGAAGATATTCTCAGGACCTCCCTCTGGTGGACAAGTATTAGATAGCTAAATAATTAATATCTCCTAACCTTTTACAAGTTGCCAAAGTTGTATTGGTTATATTGAAATTATGATGAAAGTTATCAATGAATCTTAATAGCATTCTTCAGCAAAGATGACAGAAATAGGCTAATATACATTTAACTATTAGACCTATACCTATTATTTTATTTTAATGAAAGTCAACTATCGGATATGTCCAAATGGGATATTTCAAATCATGAGTTCCTTCCTACTGTCTTCTACAAGAAATGGGTGAAGAGATGTTCTAACAACTATTCTAATTATGAAACTGCCAATTTAATCATGGTATACAGCTGTGGTAAAGGATAAAAAAATAAAGGTTATGACCCAAGTGTTCTTTATTGTTTGACCCTTTGCAATATTGTTACCTCAGTATAGAAGATAACTGTAAAAGTGAGGACTCCACTGGGCTGCACTCAGTATTTGGTCTTGGACACATCCATAAACTTTGTAGCAATGAAATTGTTTGCATTGCCTCCTTCCAAGATATATGTACTTCTCCATCTATCCTGAAATCTGGGTATTTCCTGAGGAACTCCCACCAAGGACTATTCAGGCCTGACCCCACTTAGCTTTTTTCTATCACGCACACATGCACACACACACAAAAGCACCCCAGAAAGGATAAACACAATCACATCACTTTCCCCTGCACTTCATACATTCCTTATGATCGGGTAGGTGAACACTGTTCCTTTATTTGGATGCAAGTCTGTCCAATCTCGGAGACATTGAACTGTTTAATGCTTCTGGCATCTTAAAGGCTAAGGGAGCCAGTTTGGTGCAGTGGTTAAGGCACTGGCCTAGAAACAAGTTGTTGCAAACTCTGTGATTGTTGCTTGACTTGATGGCCACCAAATTAACAAGGCTCTCTGAAAAACTTTTAATACCAATCCAATAATAACAAATTCAGAGGTGAAACTAGGAAAATAAGATCCATATTCTTGGTTGCAGACCTCAGTGGAAGATGGAGGGCCAGTACTCTTCCCTCAGCTTAAAATACCTCGCAGGAACGTCATGAGAATAACACGCAGGGCAGATATACAGTACATCCTAGTTTGAGCTCCTTTGCAGGAAAGGCAGGATGCAAACCTCAGCAGTTTTCTTTATTTCACTCCCCGCAGGGTTGATCGGTAGATATGCATTCGCGTAATCAGGGGGTCTGCGAGAGGAGGGCTGCGCCCGCCGCGTCGCGTGCGCGCTGACAGGCTTCAACCCGTCCTGGCCCCCTTCCAGCTCCCCTTCCCCCAGTCTTATTCCACGTCACGGTGCGGCGGCAAGTCACGGGGGTGGGAAGAGCTGTCAGTGTCACCGAGGGAAAAGGTGAAGCTCGGGCCGGGCGCCAAGCAGACTCTGCGAGGAAGGAGCCGCCTCCGCCTGGCGGGACGTGTGGAAAACCGGGGCGAAGGGTGGGGTGGGGGAAGGGCGGAGGAAAAAAGGAAGCGCTCCGTTCCCTCCTCGCCACCACCTTTTGCACCAGTCCCGAAAAAATGACTCTTTCGGAGGCGGGTCCAAAGAGAAGACTGATAGGATGCTGCACATCGTGACCGAGCTCCTCTTCCAATGAAAACCAAATCAAAATCAAAACTGCCTCTTAGGCGGTACCTCCGAGAAGCCTGAGGTAAACCAGACCAATAGGAAAGCCATCTGGAGGCATGGCGGATGGTTTGTCGAGACAATCCCCAGAGGCCAATCGCGCAGGGAGGTGTGATCAGTGCCGCCCGGTTGCCGGGGCCGTAGCCAATGAGGAAGATCCAAGTGGGCGGAGCCTGGTGGCGGGTGGCTCTGGGGTTCCGTGTGGAAAGGAGTATTAGGGGGTTCGGGTGCAAAGTTTAGTTTCAAACCGTCTGCAAAGAGCGGCGGGGTGGTTGCCGACGCTTCTTGGAACGCGGTCTATAAAGACTCGGAGACGGCGCGGCGGCGGAGGCACAGAGGAGCGGCTCGCCGACAGCGACGACCAGAAGCCTACTGGCCCGCGGGCGAGCAAAAGCCCGGAGCTCTTGGCGGATTGCTGCGGAGCCCTGCCGCGCAAACAGCGGTGATTTCACCGGCGGCAGTCGCCGTGGCACCCCCACTGGCTGAGGAGAGGGGTTGCTTTCCCCCCCCCTCCTCCTGTCTTCCGGACCCGCTCACCCGCCTAGCGAAGGCGCTGCCGCCGAACCAGACCCGCGAGGGAGGAAGAGCGGGGAAA